TTAAATCAGACAGATAGTTGCGCCTTTCATTCATCGTTCTCGAAATTACACTTACAATGTAAAACATTTCTACATTTATATATTGTTGGTTCAAAATATAATGATAAGGTTTCCGCGGCCATGGTTTCACAAGATGAAGCCTATGGATGCCGGCTACCGAACAACGCCTCAATATTGTCGACGGAAGCACGAACTTTCTTCCTCGTTCCTAAACATAATCATACAAACAAAGTAATGAGATCTATAATCTATTCAGACACTCTTTTGGTACTTCAAAGTCTTAGAAATATCTTCATTCGTAACACATCAATACTATAGCATAAACTTGCCTTTCACTTTCGTATTGCGTTTTCCTAGACGCATGGGAATACGAAGCAATGAAGAAGCATTTCGTGCCACAAAGGAAGCTTTATTGCTACCACCTGTTGGTTTTAAAATGCAATATTTTAAACAATTTATGAAAGAATTTTTAACAGATCAGTGACAGTAGGAATGGAATCAATATAATGAATTGCACTCCGTAAAACCTATCATCGGTGATGGTCTCAATGCTACAGAGACAAGAAGTTGTCCTTGCCCGTCTTTGGAAGGGCCATATATAGCTTTAACTTCATTTATGTTGAAAGGCTGCGATGACCCTCGGTGCATAGGATGTGATGAGCCATTCGCCGTTAAACACTTTTTATTGAACTACATTGACCTTCTGTCTACTCGATAAGTTTTTATCGTAACATTACAAAAGTCTAAAGACCCCTTTGAAACTGTTCAGATTTGTAAAAATCTAGAGATGTGTGTTACATACCTCCTGAGTGTGTTGAAGAGATGTTTGCGTTGTATACCTCCTGAGAGTGTTGTAGAGATGTGTGTTACATACCTCCTGAGAGTGTTGTAGAGGTGTTTGTAACATACCTCCTGAGAGTGTTGTAGAGATGTGTGTTACATACCTTCTGAGAGTGTTGTAGAGGTGTTTGTAACATACCTCCTGAGAGTGTTGTAGAGATGTGTGTTACATACCTCCTGAGAATGTTATAGAGTTGTGTGTAACATACCTCCCGAGAGTGTTGTAGAGTTGTGTGTAACATACCTCCTGAGAGTGTTGTATAGGTGTTTGTGTTACATACCTCCTGCGAGTGTTGTAGAAATGATTGTGTTACATACCTCCTGCGAGTGTTGTAGAAATGATTGTGTTACATACCTCCTGAGAGTGTTTCAAAAATTTTTGTGTTACATACCTCCTGAGAGTGTTATAGAGATGTGTGTTACATACCTCCTGAGAGTGTTGTAAAGATGTGATACATACCCCCTGGAAAGATGTGAAAGATGTTGGTCTATATTTAAACTCTGACTTCCCATTTTAATCTTTTGTGATGATATAATATTGCATTTGTCTTTTACCTTTTAGTTAATTGATGTGTTTCCTTTTTGATGACCTTTTATGTGTTGACGGGCCGTAATTATAACATTCTAAACATTTTCATAGAAGTGACAGTAGGACAAGTCTTGGGGAGATGTCATTATTTATTTAAAAAATCTAACTCACAGAAACCCTTAGTTGTTCTCTAAAATACATACTTATGCTGAAATGATTTTCATAAATTGCTACTTGGTTGTTTATAAAAGTCAAAATTAAGGTAAAAATCAAATGTTGCATACTTGACTTAATTAGATGCTATGATATTACTTAATGATAATTTTAAAAAAAGTAATAAAAAGCAAATACCGACTATCAACATAATCAAAATTCAAATTCAAGAAAACTAGGGGAAAATATGTACAAAAGCAAAACTTACATGGAGACTTCTACGAGAAGAATAAGACCAGGTGTTCCGGAAGAGCAAGCTTCTTTTACTGACGACAACGCCATGTAAATCTTGGTCAGTCCAAGTTCTCAAGTTAGAACAAGGTATACAAAACTGGAAAGAACAAGCAAACTGACGTGCATCAAACATGTCTAGCTTCCTATCATACAAAGATAAATAGCATTTCTCAATGAGATCACTATGACTTTTGAAATATTGTGATACGAGCTTGTCCGTCAGTAAACGACTTCTAGCACGAAAATGGTTTGGTTGCACAGGTAGCTGCGCCAGTAATAAAACATTGTTAATATGAATTCTTGTGAAGTTTAGGAATCTAATATGAACAGCGGAGGTCCTTGTCTTATCATTAATAGCCAGTCTAAATGATTGCAATACCGAAGTATGATAAGGCAGTATTTTCCCTTTGAAAAGATTTGTTTAATGTTGGGTTTTCCTTCGCTCTTTAGCAGGTTCAGTATTTCAGTATTTTGTATAACGAAAATGTGATAATATATGCAGGCATGATAATATACATGTCATGTAAATCTTGAAGTGTGATTTTAAAATCAGGATTAAGGAACGCTGACCTGTTTTGTTTTGATTTGAGATTTCTAGCTGCTAGGTCTTGAAAGATTGACAAACCGAATGAATATAACCCCCTCAGAAAATGAATCTAACGCAGCATGTACTCACTCATCCTATTGAATAGTTTTTAATGGAATCCTTAATCATCTAGAAATTCATATTCCAATCAATGGACGGAATCTAATGTTGTTTAGGACTCTTCATATAATGATCTCATAGCTTAATATTTTGGTAGAGCAAATGTATCTCACGATTAGAAAACAAAGGGTACTGATTGAAAGATTTACCTCAAATTTTAAATCTCTATAGGCTTGAGTCCCCAGGTCTCGGTTCTAGGTCTATTTCTATTCTATATAAATTATATAACTAACTGCTTTCACGGATGATTACACTGTTTGCAGACGATGCATCTCCATTTAATGTTGTTGATGATATTCCATTGAAGTTAATGATACCTTTAGCCATGATCTATGTAATACAAAAAATGTGATAAACAATGTTATATACACTTTAATCTATCCAAAGCAGAGTCAGTTATAAACAAAATTGATAGGCATTTCTAAATTCCTCAATATATTTCTTATTTAATGTCATATATGTTAATGTTGTTTGAGATTATTGTCCAGTTTATGGTTTTAGAATATAAATCTTGAAGAAGCAAGGATGATAACTGGGTTTGCATAACGTACTCCACACTAAAACCGTTATTCTGAGCTAAAATATGTTCCCTTAGAAGGCAGAAAAATACAAATGATGATACAAGGTATAAAATGTTTACAAGGAATCATCTGACTATCTATTTTTGATACTATTCAACCATTTCGAAAAAGCCAAGAAAATATCAGCTCAGAAACAATATAATCTTGAATTAATTCATTGTAGAATTATAAGCGATAGTGCTAGTATTTTTTTCAAATACTATATTAGTATAGTATACTAGTATAGTAATTTTACAAATTAAAAGAAAAGTGAAACATATTTCTTTGTCAACTAAGAAACATATCTAGCTCTTTAAATTATGACCTACATCAAAATTATCTCTGTGAAAACACTTTATGTACATGTGGATCACCATTTGAAACTGTTCATCGTTTTTGCTTTGATTGTAAAAGGTATATAAATTCCAGACTCGATCTCTCTTGCAGTCAACTGGTCACACCCATCATGATCTTTTTCATGGCTGTACGGTTTTAACATTTAATTTGTGATGAAGTAGCTCAGTATATTAATGATACCAAAAGGTCATATAGTTCAGTTTTATTCGTTACTGATATTAAGTATGTATAAACTTAATCGAATAATTCAATTATTACTGGAAAATTCTATTGATTTGCGTGATTTAGTGATTGATTTCACAACCATGTGGCGACGTTGAGTGCTAGCAAAGGGTTATTGATGACGATTTCTTCTAATTTGGAAACAACACCATACTTTTAACTTGAATGTCCTCTAAGCTAAGATCTGACAATCCTTAATTTTATTTAGTAAATGCCAATGTGCGTCGACTTGCGCTTTCATTGTACTGGGAGAGGCTAACTTAATTACTATGGGCATTCATGACCAAACCCCTTTGTACATGAAGAAGTAATTATATCTAATGACCATTAAAACTTTACTAGAATTAAATACTGATGGATTATTTTACGTATTGGCAATCTTAAACGTTCTTTATTGCGATAAAATTTTAAGTAGAGTTGTCTCCCCTATACCAAATTTGCCCATCATAAAATTGCTTATTATATGTACATTACTTGATTGTGTGAATGTCCTTTTACGTATATACGGGCATGTTTTACATCTCATTCAATTGTCAGATAAGACTTATATAGGTTTTCCTCATATTGTCTCATTACTTTGATATTTATGCCGATACACTAAATTGTTCAGAATAAAAAAAAACAAAATGTATATAATTGCTTCGTAAAGTCATACCCAATCGCATAAACGAACAATGGTTAGATGAGGGTTCCAATGAGTTCGCACGTTGTATCTGTGAATCAGTATTTAATGTGTCAAATGAACTTTGACATTAAAACATTAAAGCATCGAGTTAAAACGTCTTTGACCATACACCAAGTTTGACCTGCACAGAAGTGTTTCATATTCATGTGAATCGTTGACTATTGGTGCGAAACGCTGAGGTGAAAGCAACTGTACTGTTTGTTTATCACCACAGATATCTCTGTACTTGTCAATCTGATGTGCGTAATGGAAATTCTTGATATAAATAACGGTGTTCGACGCTAGCCAATAGAATGCATCTTCACATATTGATTTGAATGTCTCCTGCCTGCTTACTTGTACAAAGCCAGTCTCTACATTGCAAGCCTGTATAGCCCATCCCAGATACAACCCATTCCCAATCAACATCTCTGACAGTCTCCACTCCGTGTCATCACTTCCGCATCAAGGAGCATGCACCGTCGTGGCTAGAAGTGCGTTAAAGGTTCTCGGCAAAATGTATAAAAACGATCAAAGTGTGCAACCACTCTCTGGAAAAGTGTCGCTGATTTCCTGTAATAATCGAATTACAAGACAGTTAGAGTTGTTCAAACATTGTGACTGAATTGATTCCGAGAGTGTCTCTAACCAATGTACGAATTAGTGAGCATACGCATGTCAAACAAAAGCATGTTCGTTCATACTTATGAAGTGCCCTTAATGGATTACCATGCTTACAGGGTGAACAAATCCTTACTCCTCTATGCACCACCGATACTCCTCTTAATAGGTACTGTGGGCAACCTGTTTTCTTTCTTTGTTCTCCGACAGTCTATGACTAGGGTGTCCACATATTTCTACCTAGCCGTGTTGGCCCTTACGGACCTCTTGGTACTGTACATAGGACTATTGAGGCGTTGGACAGGCGAGTTGACTGGGGTGGACATCAAGGACCATGCGGCGTGGTTATGTAAACTGACAGTAACCGTAAGTTATCTGTTTAGTGACTTTTCGGTGTGGTTAATTGTGGCCGTTACAGTGGAACGTTACATTGCCGTATGTCATCCCCTTCAGGCCACTGTCTTATGTAGCGTCCAAAAGGCTCGGACAGTCAGCGTTATAATGTTTCTCACCATCGTCGCCATAAATGTTCACTTTATGTGGACCGTAGACCTGTCAATTACAAAAACCAACGGCTCGGACATTGCCACGTGCGAGGCGAGCGAATGGTATACGTACGCACTGACAGAGGTCTGGCCCTGGGTAGATGCCGCCATCTACTCGTTTGTTCCATGTTTTATACTTACTATCCTCAACTTCCTCATCATCAGGCAAGTACTTCTTGCACGAAGATTTCGATGTCAATTACAAAATTGTAAATCTGGAAGGAATAACCAATTGCAGAAAAAGTTACCGACAGAGGGAAGTATAAAACTCACGCTCATGCTTCTTGCTGTATCATTCACATTCATGATAACAACCTTACCAAACAATGTATCACTCATAGTGACCGTTCTAATGGATAGTCAGTTAAACACACTACAACAGATAGCCAGATTCGCTCTTGCTAAAACAATCACAGAACTGCTAATGTATACAAACCATTCAATCAACTTCTTCCTTTATTGCGCTACGGGGAAGAAATTCCGAAGAAACATCGAAAAACTTATATGTAAAGTGAAAGAATACCGCCGGTCATTCGACCATAACAGTAGCCCGAATAGCATGTTACTATCTCGGGTGAGTTTCAGTGGTAACCCACGAATGAACCTACTAAACTCTAATTCACATGTGGTGGGTAGCCGTAAGGCCACGGAATTGTGATTCACGTACATTATATATATATTGTAACTTTCGTATCGTGTTCTTATTATTAAAAACATTAACTTACTATTGCTTTTTATTTTCCATTTAATTCAAGAATTTAAGTCAACATCATTATACGGTCTTGGAGTTATATTAATGTTAATTTCGTTAAACAAATTGATCAACAGCTAATTTCCTTAATCAAATAATAATGTTGGTATCCATTTGATCGACTGGTTTCGTGAAATATTAAATGGAGAACATGGATGTAATAGCCATCTGTTGGATATCTCTAAGGTAAGTGAGTATATATAGGGTACATTAATAGATGACTGACCAGGCTTTACAGAAATAACGTTTTCACCTGCTGTGTCGTACGTCTTATTACAAATTTGTTGGCCATTCTTGAGAGTAACAGCTGAAAATCTTTTGACCCTTAACATCAAAACTGGGTGTACACAAATCTAATTTTACAAACATATTATTGTAACTTTCGTATCAAAAGTATTGAATAATGTGAGAATTTTAAACATTATTTTGACGAGGTTTATATGAAGGATTTATAGCAATTGTCTACGAGAAAATACTAACATGTTAACATAATCCTCATCTCAACTCAAATTCAATTAAACTAGGGCAAAACTTTAACAAAGAAAGATTTATTTGGCGATTCATGAAAAGTACAAGGAGAATAAGACCGTATGTTATGACAGAGTAGGCAAATGCGTTTTAAAGGTTTTTGTTGAATTCAGTTTCATCCTAAACCAAATAGCATTACCATCGACAGGGCGTCGCTCATATATGCTCCGATACCTATTTTTAGGCAGTGGAAAGTATTCGTTACACTTAATAACATTTACTACAGGTCACAAGGTACATGTTACGTAAAAGTGTTACGTCACAAATCGTGTCTTATATGTAAATAGTCGTGTAAAAATCAGACACATCACATATGTTACCTTTCTTCACAATACCCTTGTTTGACTGAATTGTTCTATGTTAACTAAACCTATATAACACTCTATACAAACACGAGCAAATAAAGCGACATTAGTGGAAAATCGAAATGGAAGGATCGTTAGTGGTGTGCTCGCGTGTTAGAACAGCTGTTACTATTATAAGATTTTGATGTAATTGCATTTAATTATAGAGGTATTATGATATAGATATTCTAGAAATTCAGCTCGTCAGTTTCGGAAGTATACATTCTTTTGTAAGTACAAGCGATGACACGTATACTCCAAAATATATGTACTGTGTCAGCAATCTTAATGTGAACAAGAGAATTATACCGATGTCAATGACAGCTTGATGAATAAGGATAATCCCAGTGACTAAGAAAACATAAACTAAATGATTTGAAGGATTTCTCTATGTATTTTATCATCATCAAATGGTAGACTAATAAGATCGCCCTACGTCCGTGGTCTGTGGTCCGTCCGTCCATAAACAGTTTTTGTTATCGTTATTTCATGAGATCTTTCTCAAATTTCCTATGTAGGTTACCGTTACTTCATAAGAAGTGAATCAAACCCTAAATTTTGGGCATGACTTACTTTTGGTTACCTTCTGACCTATACATCCCTGAAATCTGATTGGATGAAATTTTTATTATATATCATTGAACAACTGACACCCAGACCAAAATAATGAGGGGTAGTTTGTAGCCCTGGGATCTATGGTCTCTAAGATAGAAGCCCAGACGTTTCCCCTACCCCCAATTTTTGGCGTCCGGTCGGCACCTGACCAAATGCAAAAATTCTCTCAGTAGGGTCAGTGAGAATGAGTTGTTTTGGTGTTAACATCAGTTTTATGAAATCTTAGGCCCAGGGATATAACAACATACCAAAGAAGTCAAGCTGTGGGGGTGGTGCACTGTGACGACCGCCAGCCCATCGCCTACTAGTTTTTACCTGTCGAATTTTAGGAGAGTAGGTGTCGCTATATATAAATTTTAAACGTTTTAAATGATTATATGCGCGATTTGTGTAGGTTTGTTTTATTAGGTAAACAGAATCTCGCCAACGCCAAACTTTGGCGTCACGGATCTCGTCACTTCATTCCGCATCAAAATATTCAATATTAAAAAAATGTGTAATATCTTTCACTTCTGTGTTGCTATAGACTTGTTATCCAGATTTGCACTTATAAGCTGAAAAACGGAGCTGTATGTGACATCTTGATCTAAGTTCGCCCATGAACTGCATTTTTGATGCCGTAGTCGACGGCTTGATTCGGTAATAGTATCAACAATTTCAACGTTTTCTCGTTATGGTTTCTCCTCCTGGGTATATTATAATTATTGTGACATTCATAACAGACCGTCAACAAGAGCCATTAACCGGTAAATCACACAGCGATCCAAAAAGAAATAACATTAAACAAACCAAAAGGTTCGACAAATGCTAAAAATCTTTAATGGGATAGACCAACATCTTTCAGATAATGTAGAATTTTACAGATCTCAACAGTTTCTAAAAGGGATTTTAGATATGTAATGTTACGATAAAAACAGGTGACAGAAGAACAATGCAGTTCAATAAAAATATATAACGGTGAATGGTTCATCACATCCTATGCACCGAGGATATTACGTTGGAATTCATTTATGTTGAATGACATCGTATTTTCAATTAAACATCAGAAAGTACATCCTTAGAGACGCCATCACACAATACAGTCGTACTAAGGACACGGCAGAACGATATCACATTAGTCACTCATGAGTGCAACAAACGAACGAGTCCTTACTACTCACGGAATGTCAAACGACATTCGGAGAGCAGGAAAGTTAAAATGCTCCCATTTGTCTTGATGAAACATCATACATGGACATCTTGAAATTACGTTATTGCGAATACATAAAAACAAGAAAATAAAAAGATTATGGAAGGGAAAACAGTATTGTTTCCGAAGATTGATGAAGATATGTTGGTTCAGGTGTAGGTATGAAAGCCCATAACCAGCGTTGCAGTAGTCCTTATGGCGTTACTGTCTTAATATGCAAAGAATATGTGAAGAACTGATTGATAATATTTTCAAATGTCCTCAATAATAGTAAGTTCATGTTAAACAGTAAAATTTAAAAGTGTGGTAACAATAATGTATATAATAATCATCCAAATAGCGCGAGGTCGCTCGATTTTGTGGTCTGATGTTTTCGTTTGAATGAACGGAATTCTTATCACGAAAGACATACAATCAGTTTTAATTAACTGGCTATACAGTGTTTTGTGAAATATATCGTTGGTCTCAAATCAATAGATATATGCGTTAATACATATACATATGTGGAAACAACACGATGTTCGAAATCTATCTCTTTGTGGTGTACCCAATCCGGTTGTTGAGCAAACCAAATTCTTAGGTGTAATATTTTGCAAGAAATTGTCGTTCCTTCCACATATAAGATGCTAACGCCTTAAGGCACAGAATATTCTAATGATGTTGTCCAACACTGGTTTGGCAGCTGATAAAATATTTGCTAAGACTTTATAGAGCTCTTATTAGATCAAAATTTGTTGGACCTTCATATCTCAAATGATCATCACCAGGGTGTGAGGCTCTCGGAGCTTTTAAGCCCCCGCTTACAGGAAGCATCTATGCAGAGGCGAACGAACTATCACTGTATATCCGTCGAAAGAAATTGGCTTTGCAATACATCATTCAGCTAAAGTCAAATCCTTCAAATCCTGCTTTTCACTGGCATTTGAACTAAAACATAAAACCTTGTTTCAAAACAAACCAAAGACCATTCCATCATTTGGTATTCGGATTTCCACTCTTTTACAAAACACAAGTCTTGATATTGACCAAATTCAGTCATTTGCATCGATAGAAATTCCAACCTGGCTCTTGAATGCACCTGAAGTTGACTTTTCAATTCATGAAATGGTTAAATCAGACACTGACAGTTGCACTTTTCGTTCATCCTTCTCGAAATTGCAGTTAGAATATAAAACATTTCTACATTTATATACTGATGGTTCAAAAGACAATGATAAGGTTGCCGCCGCGGCCATGGTTTCACAAGACCAACGCTTCAATAATTTCGGTGGAAGTACGATCTATCTACCTCACAAACAAAGTAATGAGAGCTGTTATCTATTCAGACTCTTTCTGAACTACAAATCCTCAGCAATAGAAATATCGAAACTATTTCCATTCATAACATATTAATACTATATCATGAACTTTATTTTACAGCTCTGTGACAGGAGGAACGGAATCAATATATCAATAATAAAATGCACTCAGTGAAACATATCATCGGTGAATGGTGTCCATGTTATAGAAACAACCAACAAGTTTTCCTTGCCCGTCTTCGGATGGGCCATACATACCTTACACTTTTATATGTGCTAAAAGGCGCAGATAATCCGCGGTGCATGAGATGTGATAAGCCATTCACCATTCAACATTTTTGTCGGACTGCAGTGACCTTCTGTCTACTCGAAATTTTTTTATCGTATCGTTACAAGTTTAAAGACTCTTTTTTGTAACTGTTGAAATTAATAAAATTCTAGGTTATCGGAAAGATATTGCCCTATATCATAGAATTTGACTTACCATTTTAATCTTTTGTGATAATATAACCAAGAAAGAATTTAGTATTGGCCTTTAACCTTTTAGTTCGTTTGATGCTATTTCCTTTTGGATCGCTGTGTGTTTCACCGGTTGATGGCCCTTATGACCTTTTATGTGTTGAAGGGCCGTTGAAATTGAAATAATAATAATGATAATTGTCAAAAGCTACAATATAACGCATCCATATATAATTTTGAACTGTTGCCTCCCTTGTCAAGAGCGTTCTTGAAGTCAGTGCGACGCTTGATCGGCAGTGTTACGGGATTTTGTAAACATAATTATTTATCGCAAATGTGTCTATCAAGACTTGACTGGAAAAACGTCATCCTCGATATTCATGGGGTTACGTTCATTTTCGCTCTTTGTACCTCTGGAACATCTCAGTCCAAACTTGAAGGCACAAGCTAAGTAATTGGCTTGGTTCCAGGAGA